GTAAAATATTTTGTTGGTCAATTAGTGGCGAGATTCTATGTAAAATTAGTTTTTCGAAAAGTTTGGCAAATGTAGGTAGTAAGCTGATTGGACGATAAGAACTTGTGAGATGTTTAGGCTTGTTTGGTTTTGAGATCATGATAATAACTGAATGCTTCCAGGTTGAGGGGAAGAATGACAAGCGTAACATAGAATTATATATATGGGTAAGGAACAAAATTGACATTTTGGATAAATTCTTTGCTATTTTATTTGTGATTTGATCATGACCGAGAGCTTTGTTAGGCCGAAGCTTGTGAAAGACAATTCTTATAAGATATTTATGAAACTAACTAATTGTTTTAGTTCATTTATAATGAAAAATATCTATATTAGATTATTTAATTTGTTATAATATTATGGAAGTAAATATTTATGTTTTTTTTGAATAACAAAGTGGGAAAAAAAATGTTGTGATTAACAATTATACATTTTATGAATTTAGATTTTAGAGAAAACAAATGAGTTTTGGTTACACAAATGGTAAGTGCGTTGTTACTTTGAAAATAACTGGTAATTTAAAAACAGTGATTTTAAAAAATAGAGAACATAATCATGATGTATTAGTTGATGAAATCATTAAGAAATTGTGATATAACTATTAAAGTACACTCCTTGTTATGTCTCTTTGATCACGTTAATAGACTCTAAAAATTTGAATTAACTAATCCATATTACAATACTCAGTTCACAGTAAAATATTAAAGTATAATATATTATATATTATAATATTAAAATTAGGTATTTGTTTTTTTTTAATATATAAGAAAATTAATGTGGGATTCATAAACCCCATGCTAGGGTCTAGCATGGGATATAACGAAGGTGCATTGTTATCACCCCCAAGGTCCAAGACAGTAGGGCAGGTACTGATTGTGTCCTTGAACATTTAACTATCTAACCTTGTATAATACAAAATTATTCTGATGTAATTTCGTGTACTAAGCTTCTGTCGTAGTTCATTGACTGTTGTGGAAATTTACCAATATTAAACGCCATATTTACTGCTTGACCAACACCTGTAGTAAATTGAGCACACATAATTTATATTAATTGTTTATGCAGTATATCAGGGCACAATGCTTTCATACTTGATCCACATGCAACAACACGGTTTGCAAGACCACATTCAAATGCTTCTTTTGATTTTATATCTCTGCCGGTTAATAATAGATCCATAGTTCTTGAATAACCTATTGTTCTTAAAAGCCTTTTGATAAATATTTTTGAATTTGAAATATTTAATTTTCTATCGATTGCCATGATAGCATTCTCTTCTACAATGCGCAAATCACACCACAAACACAAGTCGAAACCAATATTGTATGCAAACCCAGAAACAGCAGCTATAATTGGCTTTTTACAATATGATTGCAAAAAGTCCTTTAGGAAAAATGAACAATTTTTTATAAATTAATTAAATCAAGAGTTTATTTTTAATCATCATATACTTGTGGTGGCTCGGACAATTCACCAGGGTCAAACCCAGCACAGAATGATCCCCCTTCTCCATATAGAACAGCAATTGTCGATGAAGGGTCATTCTCAAAAGTTGAAATAACTTTTCTTAAATCATCTATAGTTGCCACATTTAATGTGTTTTTATCATCTGGTCTATTCAATGATATTAAAGTAATATGCTGGTGCTTGAATGTTTTAACATTTGGATAAATAATATTTTCTGAAATAATAAAATGTATAACAGTTAAATTTATAATAATCATTTTAAAATTGATTTTTTTTTTTACATTTTGAAACACTAAGAGTATTTATCAGCTATGTTACCTAGAGAATTTTATGTGTGTCTCGCTAATTTATTAAGATAAATATCAAAATAAACATCTTTGAGAATGTAAGCATAGAAAATAATATGTAAGAGCACGTTTAAAATTTATACAAAGTCTTGACCATTTTTGTGGAAACATACATCATTCAGAATACAAAAAATTTGAGTAGGTAAGTACAATATATTATAACCTAAATACTGTATTTCATATTTAAAATTTAAAATTGTATCAATAAAGACATGAATAAGACATTCAACAATCATACCATTAGATGTAAGAACAGCTCCAGATGAAAAAAATTTATTATATTTTGTTGCTGGCTCAAATCGTGGATAGTTCATAGAATGGATAAATAATTTGAATTGTTTTAAATTTAAAAAAGCCATATTTGAAATATTGGGAATTGAAAATCGTTATCACTTTATCAGTTAATATTTTATCAACATTATTTCATTATCTACCACAGATATAGATAATAAACTAGATTGCTAACTAGTGATAACATGTGAAGTTATTATCCGCCATTTTGAGTAGGTCAAATGTATAAATGATAAATATTAAATTCCACCAAAATTTGAATTCTTGTTTAAAATATTTTAAATGTAATTTATTTTTGTTATTGATATTCATTTTTGTAATTTTGTCAAAATAAATTATGATTGTATATTTAAAAAAATACATTTATTTGAATAAAATATTTATGTAGTATATAATTTTTTAAATGTATGACTTAACATTTTAAACAATAAAGGAATTATTTGTGAAAACTAGTGTGTTGTTCTTTAACATATTATATAGTACCTATATAATATATTATATTATTTATACAATAAAACTATTATTACTCGTTATTTTGAATTTTCATAGAAAATAGTCGTGGAGTTTAATCACTGTACATAATATGTTAACTCCTGTACAGACCTGTCTATACTTGYAAATGTTATACTAGATAAACAAAATATTTACTTTCTTGACATGAAAGTTTTAAGAGTAATTTATTTGTGTAGTCAATAGCATTTAATATTGTATTATATTATATTTACAAACAATAAATTATTACATTTTCGTTAAAAATGCCTATGACGTGTAGTGTTAAAAACTGCTCTAGTCGTGGTAATCGAAAARCCAATAGTCCAGGAAAATTGCATTTTTTTGGGTAATTAAAAAAAAATATATATATTATATATATCATTTATTAAATGAATGAAAATATAATTTAAGAAAATAATTTTTATAAAATAGATTTCCTTCTGATGAGACGAGAAAGCAAATGTGGGTTAAAGCTATACAAAGAGAAAACTTTGYTCCTACTCGATATAGCAAAATTTGCAGTAAAMACTTTACAAATAATGACTTTTATCATGGATACTTTAGAAAGTTATTGAAAGAAACGTCGGTACCAAGTATCTTCAATAGAGATCCTGTGAGTAAAAAAAAGTTGACATATGGTGATCACACTTATATTGGTACAAAATCACCTTCTCCAAAATTAATAGATCAGACCACTGAAAATAGTAAGTCATGTACTAAATTATTAGGTTGATAATAATAATAATAATTTTTTTTTACATATATTGCTGACWTAGTGTCAACAATAAGTAGTTTACAATGTTCTAGTCCGATAAGTTCAGAAAACTATGATATTTTGGATTTGTCATTAAAAAATAAAAAATTCTTTGATCAGAAATCACCACCTCCARATCGTATTATGGAAACGCTAGATACAAGTACAATTTATTTTTAATTTTTTCCTTTATTGCCATCTTGATTACTAATTAATACTCGTGTTCAATGATATTATGAACTTTGAAATTAGTTTGATTATTTTTAAAATTGATAATTTAGATTGTACACCAATAAAGAAATTTAAGAGGAAACGTCTACAAAAAAAAGTTGAAACTCCTATAAAAAGAGGATTGAGGAAAAAAGTTAAGCTTCTTCAACAAAAAGTTAGAAGGCAAAACAATAAAATAACCAACATTGAGGTTTGTTTTATAGTATACTTAATATTTAAACTTGTATAAATGTATAATAGCTGTTTATGGCATCTTACACATAGATTATAATTAAATATAAAATAATACACAAAACAGTAAGTAATGCAGAATACATAATTGTTAAATATTATATAAATAACATTATTTAGATGCTAATGGAAACAATAAAGTCTTCAACTGATACTGAGACAACACAAATAATAGGTAAAAATTTTACAAGTGTTTTCCTAGAAGATCTGGTTAGGAACAGTAAGATTCCACCTTCAGGAAAACGATACAGTGATGATGTTAAAAAATTTGCTACTACACTTTACTTTTATTCACCTAAAGCGTATGATTTTGTAAGGTAATAACTAATAAGTGATGCTATACTAAATATTATTCTACACAATTTCAATTTCACATTTCCAAAATAAAATAAATGTTCAGGTCTTCAATACATTTGCCGAATCCAAGTGCAATTAGAAACTGGCTTTCAAACGTAAATGTAAATACTGGATTTTTAAGTGATGTGTTAATGGAAATAGGTAAATTTGAAGATGTTGATAAATGTTGTTGCTTGATATTAGACTCTATGAGCATAAAGAAAGAAGTACATTGGGATAAAGCTACTAACCGGTATTCATTATTACTTTGTATTATATTTGAAATTTTGAAATACTAATTGTGCTTATTCCATGGTGGGTAGATATGTTGGATATTGTGACTATGGAAATAATTTAACAATAGAAGACAGTGAACAACCAGCATCTGAAGTTTTGGTATTTATGTTATCAAGCTTAAAGAAATCGTGGAAATGGCCGATAGGTTATTGGTTTGTAGATAAAGTAAAATCATCAGTTCAGGCCCAGTTAATTCGTATAGGAGTGTCAGAATGTCAAAAATATGGTATAAATGTATTAAGTGTAACATGCGATGGTGCATACGCCAATTTTAGTTCTTTCCAAATATTAGGATGCAATTTAAATCAAACTTTTGAACACTTAAAACCAGATTTTAATATTGATCCAAATACAACAAATATTTACTTTACGCCAGATGCTTGTCATAACATTAAGTTGGCAAGAAATGCTTTAGGTACATTCAAGGCATTCAAAGATGAAGATGGAAACTTAATAGAATGGAGATACATAGAACAACTTAGTAAACTTCAAAGTGAGATTGGGTTCAAATTTGCAAATAAGTTGAGCACATCACACATTAACTGGAATGCAAACAGCATGAAGGTGAAGTTGGCTGTACAAACGTTGAGCAGTTCTGTAGCTGATTCACTGCAGTATCTGAAAAATACATCAGATAATTTTAAAAATTGCGACCCAACAATTAAATTTATACGTGTTGTTGATGAAATTTTTGATTTTCTTAACTCAAGAAATCCATTTGCAAAAGGAYATAAACAACCTATTAGAGCTAACAACATTGTTTACCTTGAAAATCGAATGACTCAGTTAATCAAGTATTTATACTCTTTAAAAACTGTTGATGGAGTAGATTTATGGAAAAGTCGGAGAAAAACATTTATTCTTGGGTTTGCAACTGCTATTAAATCAATATTTGAAATATCTAAAAAATTACTTGCCAATCATAGTTTTCTATATATTTTAACTTACAAATTAAGTCAAGATGCTATTGAGTTGTTTTTTGGTCATGTAAGAGGACGTCTTGGACATAATGATAATCATAACTGTCTACAGTTTAAGTATGCCTTAAGAAGTATTTTACTGCATATTTCAATCAAACAATCAACAGGCAATTGTTCTTTATTGACTTCTCATGAAGATTCTTTGTTTTCATTAAGATGGAAATATAAAAAAAAACGAACATGTACTAGAAAATGAGGAACAGGTACAATTAATATCTGACAACTGCAACRATCCAATGTTAAGTTCATWGACAGACAATGTGCTTTATTATATAGCAGGATATGTAATAAAAAAAATATTACCTGAACTCACTTGTGAAAAATGCATCAAAGCTGTGACAGATGATTCTCATGAGAAAGATCATACATACTGTACCACAGAGATTGAATCATTCAAAACTCTCACAAGAATGAAGAAYAGAGGAGGCTTAGAATTAGCATCGGAAAGTGTTTTCAGAGTTATTAAAACCACTGAAACATATTTTAAATCTGTAGTTTCTGATAAACAGCAATTGTTGTCAAAGAATATAGRTACTAAAATAATCCTCTGGGTTCAAAATACATTGGCATTATCTTCAACTCTTTTCCCTGAAATAATAGATTGTTGRTATGAAACAGACATACATGTAAGACCTCACAAAATTAAATTAATCAACCTCATTACACACACATATTTAAATATAAGATTACACTCATATAGCAAGATATTAAATTCTTCAATAATGAAGGTGGCTAGTAAAAGACAAAAGCTTCATAAAACAATTTTATTTTACAACATGTAAAAGTATTTATTTTTTTATTTATTTAATATTGTTTTAATTTGWCAAAATACTTATAGACCTTATACTTAGTTCAGAAACTGTTTTATTTAATAAACCTGAGTATTATTAACAAATAATAATATAATAATTTAATTTAATGGTAATAAAATAGTATCTACAGAATAGTATTATAACACACTTACCTAATTTATATGTTTATATCACGATTTAAGATAATCGTGGTTTATGTTATTATAAATTATAAACATAACATGAAATTATTCAATAAATCATCATCAACATTTTAAATTAATTAGACAATAATAATTTATACATTTTTTAACAAAGGTCAAACAATAATATAATTTGTTACCTACATAATAAAACATAAATAAAAGACATTTTTAAACTTTACATTTTAAAACAGTCCAATCGCAATCAGTGATAAATAGTGTTATCAAAATTATAATGTGATAAGATACAAATGACCTACTAGTAATGGCGGATGTGTGGCTTCAAACATTTATACGGTTGGTATAGGGAACCTAGCAATCTAGTTTATTATCTATATCTGTGTTATCTACCAACAGCTGATTTAACCACAGATATTTGATTATATGATTTTATAATATTTATCTATAGATTTAGATATAAATTAACTATGGATTTGACAAAATAAATAATAATAAATATTATGCATTTTGATTTTTGATTATATAGATAATACTGATACATTTAAAACAATCGTAATACCATTATTGTTTAAATTTTTTCTTTTGCTTTTTGTCTTTTGTGTCTCCGGCTCTCCGCGTTTACTATTTAGTATAATATTTTTAATTTTACGTCCTACGCGTATACATAAGCCACTTACACTAATGCGAATTCATTACCTATTTTTTTATTAGTTGAGTTTATTGTATAATTATAATATATTAACACTATTATTTTGTTATTTAATAATGTTTAACCAAATGAATGCCATAGTATGTGGTGAATATTCAAAATATTTATATTTATACTCATACAAAAAGTCTTCTCTTCTGTAACTATCCAATTAATTGAATTGATATCAAAATCATTTACCATGCAAAAACCTATGTCTATACTAAAATTACTTCTATTATTTATAACTGGAAATGTTCAAAGTATGTAATGATTTGTTTATTTTTATTTTTGTATAAATTAAATACTACTATTAACTTTAAATTTTCTATTTAGGTACAATTCATAAAAACCTTGCCCATTTTGAAACCTTACATGCTTCTGATTTTTCTCATAACATAGTGAAACGTGGAGTCAATGATAGTCCACATCCATTAAACAAAGTAAAAGAAGTATCATTCACCACATTGGGAAGGTAATATGTTATATTAATTAACTATGTGTACCTTTGTAGTGTACATAGAGCATAAGTGTTGATAGATTTTCATCAAGATCGTCCTTAGGGCCTAGGACTTGAATTATAGGAACTTAAGTAACATTAGGACTAATCTATGGCCACTTATAGCTAAATATATTCATTCAAGTATTTTTGCAGAGATTTTCGATTAATATTAACCCCAAAAAAAGGATTATTACATCATCAGTTTGAAGCCACAAGTATAGATGCTGAAGGAAACGAAACTCCAGTTGCAGTTGGTATGTTAAAACATTATAACTTATAGTTGTTTTCTACTAACTTGTCAAACATATTTCTCAGTGTATTTTACTAAATCTATATATTTTCATCATCTATATAAATTTTAATATACATATTATTTTTTGAATTTTTCTGTTAAATGTAGATCATGAACATTTTTATGATGGCCGCGTATTTGGAGAGAAAAGTTCACATGCTAGTGTACATTTAGATGAAGGTGTTATGACAGCTATCATTGATGTCCCTGGTGAAACTTATCACATTGAAGTATATAAAAACAGTTTTTCTTATGTACAGTAGTTGTTATTTTATTTTATTTTTTTCATTTTAGCCATCTTGGAGACATATGGTCGATAAAGATAACAAAACAATGATAACTTATAAGGCATCAGATGTACGATTAAGTTGGGAAAATTCAAACTTAAATCAACATAAGCCATGTGCTTATGTCAAAGAAGATGCCGGTTTGCATTTTGAACGTGCTAAGTTTTGATTTGATTTAACTAATATTACTAAGTTTTCAGTGGTAGAAACTGTAGATGATGACGATGATCATTTAAATACCATTACACGTTCTAAACGWGATGCTGATTCTTATGACTATATGATAACACCAACTAGAACACGTTGCCCATTGCTTTTAGTTGCTGATTATAGATTTTTCAGAGAAATGGGAGGAAGTGATACAAAAACAACTATAAATTATTTAGTATGTATTAAAATATGAAGTATTTCAACAAATTTAACTAGTCTAATTTGACAGTTTTCTATTTTTATAAAAATAAAAATTGGCTACCATTTAATATTGTGTACACTTTTACAGAGTTATAGTTAACTTAAAAAACAAATATTTACTGTTTTTATCATTATTTGAAAAACATTTTGATTTATCCAAACATAATGTATTTTACTTTAAAACATAGCTTTAAATTTCAACTAATGAACTTAAAAACCATAATATATAATATACATACAATATATATATACATATTTTAGATAAGTCTAATTGATCGTGTACACAAAATATATAATGATACTTTATGGCTGGAACGTCAAGAATCTGATGGATTTCGTGGTATGGGTTTTGTTATTAAAAAAATAACAGTACATAGTGATCCAACTAAAGTGCGAAGTTCAGAAGATCATTATAACATGGTTCGAGAAAAATGGGATGTTCGTTCTCTACTTGAGGTATTTTATTTCATATAACTTTATAAGATATCTTATTATACTTCAAACAACTTTCTATTTGATATTTAGTATTTTAGGCTTTAGCTATATTGCTGTCTTTTTTTCAATGCAAACCATAATTACCTTTATCACCTCCATACTATTTTTCTCAAGCCACCTCTGATTTTATTTATACTGAATCTTCTTTACTTATTAGTAATTAGTATTTAATTTTCCAAAACATCTCTCTTATTCTTTCTTATTTTCTCCATGGTTATTTTAACTCCTTATTTTAAAATTTTTCTTATCCTGTCTGTTAAATGAATTCCATCTCAACATTTTCATTATATTGATTTCCGTTTTGTTTTTGAAACCATATTGCTATAGTTTATAAATAATAAAGTAAAATACAGTGAAACCTCTAAATACCAGACACTCTCGCTCGCCGTAATTTTGTCATTCAGAGAGGAGATTCTTGAAAATAACAAAATAACTCAGAGAAATTAATAATTACATATTTTATTATTTATATTATATTTATAATCAATGTTATTTCTATATTTCTATTATTTTAATGCAAATACTAATTGTACATATTATGATTTAAAATTATATGAAAAATTCAGTTACTTTGACTTGTTTAGACTTTGATGCATAATAATTTAGTGTATAAAGGCATTTTCTAATTCAACTGCGTTGGAGACAATACGTTTACTAATACGTTTGTATGTAATGGAATCACAAGCTCAACTAAATACGAGTAGGAAATAGTAACGTCACTTCACAGAACATAAGCTAGAAAAATGTTTTATAATTGACATGATAATGGACAGATAAGATTAACTCAAAACTATAATAGTTAGATARATTTTTGTAAATGTAGTCCATGATTATTCTATATTTTAGAATTGTCAAAATCAAAATCAAATTACCATAAAAGTGTCCGGTATTTAAGAGTTTCCCTGTATAATAATAGTTAAAATGTTTCCGTTACCGAAAAATGTCCGCTATTTGGAGGTGTCCATTAAGGGAGGTTTTACTGTATTTAATTGTTAAATATATATAATCATTAATTTTACTATTGATGTATCATATATCAATAAATAGGAGTTTTCTAAATCAAAAGATGTATCAAAGTATTGTTTAGCGCATCTGTTTACGCATCAAACATTCAGATCAAAACAATCTTCAGTATTGGGTCTAGCATATATAGCTTCACCTAGAAGTTATGCAATTGGCGGCATATGTAGTCCTGGTGAATATTTTTATTTATGACAAATTTTACTGATGGAAAATAAGACTAACTGCACAAAATAATCTCATAAATCTTTAATTCATACTAATAAAATTTGTTGAATTTTTCTTGTTCAAATAATACACAGGTATTTATTATATATCAATATGTTGTTGGTGATTTATTAGTTATATGGACTAATCTAAGGATTTTTATAATTCATWCAACCTTATTAATTTATAAGACTATTTACATAGTTACATTTTTTAATGCTCAGTTTGGTAACACATCCCTTTAACTCTTAACAATATCTTACCTCATGGATGTTTGCTTTTGTACTTACCACTTGCTATAATTAATGGTGTAAGTGATGTTTTATAATAATAAGTAATAACTAATATCAAATGTTTAATCATTGATTATAATTAATTATTAATTATTCGAGTACAATGTTGTAGATTTATTTTTTTGGTACTTTAATTTGATATTTACTTAACTATTAAATTAATATGTTTGGAAATCATCAATTATTAAACATGCATTACTATTTTTGCTTATTTTAAATCAACAATAAAACTATATTATCTATTACTATTGCTTTGCTGGTGGCAGGTTTTTAGCCGTGAATATAGCCATAAAGACTTCTGCTTGGCCCATTTATTTACCGATTTAAAATTTGAAGGAGGTATTCTAGGACTTGCTTATGTCGGTTCTCCTAGACGTAATTCAGTTGGTGGAATTTGTACACCAGGTGACGGAAGAATTAATAATTCAAAATATATTTTTTCAAATCAATACATTTTTATGATTACAAATTTAAATTTAACAGAGTATTTTAAAAATGGGTATACCTTATATCTTAATTCTGGTCTAAGTTCAAGCCGTAATCATTATGGTCAACGAGTAATTACACGAGAAGCAGATTTAGTTACTGCTCATGAATTTGGTCACAATTGGGGATCTGAACATGATCCAGATATAACTGAATGTAGTCCTACAGCTAGCCAGGGAGGATCTTTTCTTATGTATACATATAGTGTTAGTGGATACGATATTAACAACAAAGTGAGTTTAAATAAAAAATTAAATAAATTGTTTATCTACATCTATTAAAAAATTTTCATTTTCTCAGAGATTCTCTCCATGTAGTTTACGGTCTATACGTAAAGTATTACAAGCCAAATCAGCACGTTGTTTTTCTGAACCAGAGGAATCATTTTGTGGTAATCTTAGAGTTGAAGGAAATGAAGAATGTGATGCTGGCCTTTTAGGTACTGAAGATAATGATTCATGTTGTGACAAAAACTGTAAACTCAGAAGAGCTCAAGGTGCTCGATGCAGGTACTGAAATATATATTATGGTAATATATTATGTAGTAATTAATAGGTTTAAACATAGTTTATATCTGATATTAATTACCACTTATTAATATCATTTATTATACTTACGAAGTTAAGTTATGAAATACTTTGGAAGTTTTTTCTGGTGACTAAGATCCCCCCCCCCAACGTATGCCTATACAGTAATTTAATTTTGTGTTTAATTTTGTTTAGTGATAAAAACTCGCCTTGTTGTCAAAATTGTCAATTTATGGCATCTGGAGTGAAATGTCGTGAAGGGCAATTTGCCACATGTGAGCAAGAATCTCGTTGTACAGGTACTGGAGCTGAGTGTCCTAAGAGTCCACCTATGCCTGATGGTACTGGGTGTCTTGAAAGGGGTAAATGTCGTTCTGGTAAATGCATACCTTTTTGTGAGACACAAGGATTACAAAGTTGTATGTGTGATACTAGTAAGTTACAAATAATTTATCACTGTTTTGAGATATGCAATTTCTAAAATAGTATGTATTTAATCTTAATAAAATTGGCAATCATAATAGTCTCTTGTTTTCAGTACTACAATCATGCAAACGATGTTGTCGTATAAATTTAAACGATACATGTTATCCAGTTGATCCACCTGATGTGTTACCGGATGGAACACCGTGTATTCAAGGATTTTGTAACAAAGTACTGTTATACAGTTTATTTAATATTTTTGTAAAAAAAATAAAATGCTTATCTCCTATGTTGGTTTTTGATAGGGTGCATGTGAGAAAACTATTCAAGATGTTGTAGAACGTTTTTGGGATATAATTGAAGAAATCAACATTAATAAGATGTTAAGGTTCTTAAAAGATAATATTGTAGGCACAGTGATTTTAGTTACTGGTTTGATATGGGTACCAGCATCTTGTATAATTAACTGGTTAGATCATAAACGTGCCAAAGAAGTTCGCGAAAGAAGGAAATGGGAAGATCAGGATGATTTTGTGCAAATGTCCAATGACGCAAGACCAAAAAAAATAATTTACGTCAAAGTGCCAACTAGTCAAATGGAAATTCTAACGACAAACAAATGAGATACTTAAATTAACAGGTTAAATATATATATATTCTGTGATAAGCCAATATTGTATTGAATACTCCAGGATCTCTATGATTAAAAAGAAAAGAATAGTTTGTTTTAATTCTATTAAGTTACCTTTTATTATTATTTTTTTTTTTTTACATTACATATTTTTACAAGTATTATACTAAAACCTTTGTCTTCTAAACTAGTCACAATATTATAATTAAGGTTTATAAAAATAGATAAGAAATTTAACAATTTTATTAATTAATAATTTTAATTATTACATATTGGTATTGCAATAAATCAATTTGTTTTATTACACATATATATTGTACATAGTGTATGTAATTCAAATAATAGTTAATTTATTAAAAATTACATAAATGAAAGAAAAAGTATTTACAAGCAAAACAATCACAATTTACTAACTAATTCTTAAGCATAATTAATATTTATACTTATTTTTATCAACAATATAACAGTTTACAGTAAAAAATAAGAAATAAAAGTAAATTAACATAAGACATACGCTTAGAACAATAATAATAATAAAAACAATTAATTCAACTGACATATAAAATATAAAAAAAAGTTTTCAAAATAAACAGTATATAATACTTTAAACCTAATTATACATAAACTAAGATACTTATTTTAGAGAATATAAAATAATAATAACAAATCTATTAATTTAGTGTTTAATATCATACAAGTGTGTTCCAAATAAAAAAAAAACTGATTGACAATCTCAACCCTCGTTTGTACAATAAGTACTGGTGTTGTTCACGGTCTGTATGCACAGCATAATACAGAGGTGGGTGGGTACAGAGTTATAGCAGTTGGAACACAACTATAAAAAGGACGGCGCCGCGCTCACATGTTCTACCAAGATGTTTGGTAAGAGCTATCTATTTTATAAAAATATAAATACTACTGTCTTATAAAGTAAAAAATAGTGGGCTTGTGTAAAAAAAATAAAATTATATAATATTATTCATACATAACTATTTCCTAGATTACATTTTTATATATTAAGTTTTAACATGTAAAATCTTTGCTTAAATTTAAAAATAATAATAAGTATTTCGAATGGTATATTATAATAGTATATTTGCATATACTTTGTTAAGTAGATCATGTGTAAAAATATTTTTAAAAAAATAATAATACTTCAGTCAGTGGTTGTATAACCTAATTTGATATTATAGCTAAGTTTTGTTAAAACATCCTTGTGCTTCTTAAGTCATAAAAATAAATTATATTAGAAAAAAATAATTACAGATGCATTTATATTGTTTTATAATATTAATTATAGTTATATAATTACTCTATTAATTAGTAGCAATAATAGCAATACATAAATCATCCTGTTTAGTGTATATAGAAATTAAAATGGGAAAAAATAAGTTTATATTATCCTAGAGACCATTATGGAAGTCAAWATATATATATTAAATAGTTTTTAGGTGGGTTACCAGGTTATAAATTATAATTTATCACCATTTCATTCTTGATAATTATAATTTTTATATCAGCTTAAAAATTTTGAGCTATTTTTTATATCCATCAACAATAATGAACACACATGTTTGAATAAATGATAAATGTTATTGTAAATTTTAAAAATAACAGTACTTAACTAAATAAATAAAAGTTATTTGAACAAAATATACAAAACAATTGTCATATTTGTCAGGTACAAAATTAACAAAAAAAAAAATAGAAAAGAAGTAAAGAACTCACACTAGATTTACTCATGAAATAAAATGCTGTTCATCTAAAAGCTATCTTTTATTCACTTCTGAATAAATCGAATTGTGATTAATTTCATTCAAGTCCACTTTTAAACTTTCATAGTTAGGATCATTTTCAACATATTCAACAGCCATTGTCCTAGTCAAGCTTGCATAATCTGGTTCAGATGGTTTGTCAATTTTTTTTATCCGAGCATAACCATGACTAGTGGGTCGTAACTCTTCGTAATTAGGATCAACATCAGACACCTGTGTCTTTTTAGGTTCAACCAATCTATCATAAATACCTTCATCGTATAAAGGGGGCAAAACAGGGGAAGTTTGTTCTGGGGAATCATTGCGTTTTTTCATCACTTTAGCATACATCTCGTCTAGGTATTCTGGAGGTTTAGGTAGAGGTGAATTAGCTGGTCGTTTTTCAGGCTTAGGYGAATTAGAACTCACGGCACTCGATGAAGAATCTACAAATGAAATTGATTTACAACATTTTCATTTTATGTATACATATGTCAATATAGAGATCTGTACATTTTTAAATTATGAAAAAAATTACCCTGTCTGGAATGTGTTTGTTCAGGTCCATTAATGTGTGAAGTAGAAGCTTTATATGTCTGACCTGATGAAGCAACTGGTATATTATTTGCACTAGGTATCTGGGCATATGTTTCACTTCCACTAGTGTATACATTGTTGCTTGGATCAATAATAGCAGCATACATTTCATCTGCGTAAATAAGAAATATATATTTATAGTACAATATTTTTATACTTAAATGTAGCTATATCACATACCAGAGTCATCTGAGACAAAAGCATAATGAGGATCTGATGGTATACTGCCATTTCGTGCATTGGACATGATCCTTGATAATGGTTCTCGAACACTGATGCTTGTGTATCCTTCTAAAAATTGGTTATAATTAAAAAAATATATTTAAACAATTATTCTTATAGCATTCTTACTACTAGAATCATGTGAATCACCGCTGTAATGTCCCTGTCTTGGTTGCACATTCAATGGATGTTCTATTGGTCCTACTGGTGGAGTCATATAAGGAATGTTAATACTAGCAGCTTCGTCACCTGCAATTACACTAGCCGCTGCTATATCTTGATTGGGAGCCCTGTCAACTTCATCAAATTCTATTGACTCACTCAAACTGACTTTCTCTGATCTTTAACATTGAATTTGAAAATAATATATATTTTTGAAGTATAATGTGAACTTAACAGTAAATAAAAATTAATTACCTTTGAGAACCAGGATACTGATTATTTACATTATGCACACCAACTTTAGCATATGGATGTTCTTGTTTTAATTTGTCATATGGATTTTCCTTGTTTACACAAGCATATACACATTCACTTTTGGATGCTGTAGTGCCACTTGATGGAGACATTGTGTTATTGACATACTTTGAAGAGTCCCCTTTGATGACATTTTTATTTTCTTCAACAGTAGCATACAGTTCGGAATTTGTATCACCACCATACCAAACAGCAGTTGCAACAGCATCTGAACCTCTAGGGGTTTCAACAGGTAAATCAGGAAGACTTCTAGTGGCCGAAGACAAAGTAGCACCAGCTGAACTCCTGTCAAAATATAAATTTAAAAATTAAGTTTAATGAAATTGTAAACACAATTCTTAAAATAAAAACCTTTTGGTACTATTTGTTGGGGATGGACTAGTTGATAAGTTCCTGTTAACTGGTTCTGGCCCAACATCAGGATTGGTAATTTTTACCATGCCAGCAAGACCAAGTAATTCATTTCTATTGTGATACAAGCAAACAAAAATAAACAAAAAATTACATTCCAAAAAAATAATAAAATAATTTAATTGCATTAATATTGAGTTTCAACTTATAAAAAACTAAAAAGATTTTAGGTGTTGTAAGCAAACAATAGAAATAATGTTATAGGATCATTTCATAAGTGCAAACATTCATTTTCATAACTTTTGAACAATATTTCTTCACAAGACAAAATACATTAAATAATTCAATAACAAACTACAAGTACAAAGTGAAATAGGTATCTGATCTAAAAATAAATATAAAAAGCTAAGTATTCTGAAAACTGTTAAATAATTATAGATACTATAAATATATAAAACAATAGTGAAGTATATTTGAAAATAAATGTTAAGTGTTAAACGCAAAATTACTCAAATTAAATTCTAATAAAAACATATTGAAGCATGCTCACCCTCAATTTCCATTTATAATGAATTTATTCAAGTTAAAATGTTGCTGTTTTCATATATCTATACTTAAATGCCATATATTCAAATAACTACATTGATATTTTTTACCATTTAAAGAAAGTTGTATGTCAATGCAAACCGCCTTTTTAAAATGGGAACCAACAAATCTTTTATAGGTACAGTACATTGTTAAGCAGATGATATTATTTTAAAAATTTGACTATATCTAAATGTAAATCTGAATGAATCATTATGAATTATCCAAACATAAACATATATACTAACTAAAGACTAAAGATTTTTAACAATGGCGCCAAAGCCAAACACATTAAAACAACAGTTTTAATTAACATGGCCATCATCACTTGAATTGCTCATAAGGTGAGTCAGGTAAAATACCAGGATTATGATTTTTGGACTTCTTTACACATTGTTACTTTGTATATTTAATTCCCTAACATTAATTCATATACTCATCCCACTATTCTTCTCTAATAATAAGACATTTTTCTTCATCTGCTTTAGCAGTCACCAAGTATCACATACATATTTCAACATTGACTGTATAATCATATTGATTGTCTATAGCAGAGGTGGCAAACCTAGAGTACCAAGAGTATCTAAAGTATTGAGATATCTTTAACCCCTTTCACTGCTCCAGACAAACTATTACTTCCAAAATGTTTACATCATTCACTGTTCCTGACATACACCTATCACAATCCTGTATTATATAATATTATTATTTACTGGTAACTATACAATTTTTGGAAATCGTGGTTCGGTGGCTCACATTATTTTATGACTTAAATAGTTAAATCATGCAGATCTCAAAATTTATATTTAAAAAAATGTTGATGTAGCATACGCACGGCGTATACACACTACACAGGTTTCAGATCGTAAATAGTGAAGCAGTGATATTGTTAAAATTACAAGGAATTAAAATTCTTGTATTTGAAAATATGGTCTTAAGTAAACTTAATAATATCAAAATTTGTTATTCAAAGTAAATTGGAGATGAGTATGCTTGTTGAATCATCATGTACAAGTTGTACCATATACTATATTATATATGTGTTACAAATATCTACTACCTATACCGTTTTAATATAAATAAAATACAACTTATTATG